CTCCAGGAGGCTGCAGACACCAACACTTAGGACACGCACACTAGATATGCGCGGATGGCCGCCGTCTTCCACGCCAGCACCGGCCGGTGCTCGTCTAGCTGCACTCGGTCTCATCGTATCGAGCTCTCGCCCTGCTGCTGCGCTCGCTAAAGGTCCTGCCGACGTGCACGCTCAGCGGCGGCGAGACGGTGCCCGTCGGCTGGTACCTAGGCTGGTACGGCCATCACAGGCGTTACTTTCTTGGAGCACTTGGAGTGCAGTCATTAATTTCTGCAACAGCTGCTCTTGCACTTGCTCGACGGGCAGGTCGTGGTCAAAGGGAGCATGCCTGGTTGCCTGTCCCCGGACATGCATGCCTGTGAATGACACGAGATTAAACTGGACCCCAGGAATTGCAACTCGCCGCTTTCCTCCCGCTGTGATTCTGTGTGAGCTCTGTGTGTGTGTGTGTGTGTGTGTGTGTGTGTGTGTCGTCACACACACACACACACTCACTCACTCACTCACTCACTCACGTGAGCTCTGTGTGTGTCTTGATTTGCCAAAACCTACGGCGCGGACTCTCTGCGACGGGACCGGCCCCAGCTTCGGCCTGTGAGTCGTGATTTCTTGTTGGTTTTCTAAAATCTCTAAAGAATAGAAAGAAAGACATGATTCGCGTGCGGAGGCGTGACATGCGCGCGAGACCGGCTTGCTGAGCGTGATAGGGGCCTGTGTAACCGGCAACCTTATCCCTGGAAGCTCAAGAAAAGAAAAGGGGCTCGGCTCGGCCTCCGCGCAATCGCTGGCTGGCCGGCCGAGAGACTTTGCCGGCTGTGGTCGCGCACTTGACCTCACTCAGTCCCGTCCCCGATGCGGCTCGCGCCGCCGCACCAGCGGCTGATGCTGTGCTCGATGTCGATGGCTCGGTCGATGATGACTTCCGCGCCGTCCTCCCTCCCGCTCAAGGACCCGTCCCTCTTTGTCGGCCGCGGCTTCATAGGCGGCGAGTGGGTCGGTGCGGATGACGGCAGCACGGTCGACGTGACGGACCCGGCGTCGGGGCTCTGCCTCGGATCCATCCCCAACATGGGCGGCAGCGAGACGCGGCGTGCGGTCGAGGCCGCGGAGGCTGCGTTCGCTAGCTGGCGCTCCAAGACGGGCAAGGAGCGCGGCGCGGTGCTTCGCCGCTGGTTCGACCTGATCATGGCCAACCAGCAGGACCTGGCTGCGATCATGACGGCGGAGTGCGGCAAGCCCATGGCGGAGGCGGTGGGCGAGATAGCGTACGGCGCCTCGATCGTGGAGTGGTGCGCCGGAGACACGAGCCTCTCCCCACCCTCAGCCCTGACCCAAGCCCTAGGCGCCTCGTTTGTGGAGTGGTTCGCCGAGGAGGCGAAGCGCGTCTACGGCGACGTCGTCCCAAACACGACGCCGGGCACGCGCATCCTCGTCCTCAAGCAGCCGGTGGGCGTCGTGGGCGCAGTCACGCCGTGGTCCTCTGACCCTAACCCTAACCCTAACCCTAACCCCAGGTGGGCGTGGTGGGCGCATCGGTGGCAGTGGTTATAATAACCCAGTGAACCTTCCACCTGTGCGGCCCCTCGCCATGGCGGCCTGCCCTGGCCCTTCCCCGACCCCTTTCTCGGAGCTCTTGCAGGTGCGCCCCCGCCCTCGCCGTCGGCTGCCCGGTCGTGGTCAAGCCGTCCGAGCTGACGCCCTTCTCCGCGAGCGCGCTGGCGCTGCTCGCGGAGCGAGCGGGGATGCCGAGCGGCGTGCTCAACCTGGTGCTCGGCGCGAAGGCGCAGGAGGTCGGCGACGAGCTCTGCTCCAACCCGACCGTAATTAATTACTTAATCAATTAATCAATTAATTAAGTAATTAATAGGTCGGCGACGAGCTCTGCTCCAACCCGACCGTGCGCAAGCTCGGCTTCACCGGCGCTCGACGCCGGCGGGCGAGAGCTCACGCCCGCGACGTGTCCCGGACGCGTCCCGGCATGTCCCGCAGGCTCGACGGCGGTGGGCAAGCAGCTGCTTCGCCAGTCGGCCGCCACCGTCAAGAAGGTGAGCATGGAGCTGGGCGGGCACGCGCCGCTCATCTACA